AAAAAAAAAAAAAAAAAAGAGTCCTGACCCTGAAAGGCTGAGGCAGGAGGGTTGCAAGTTTGAGTCCCACCTGGACAACTTAATGATTCAATGAGACCTAGTCTCAAAAATGAAAAATAAAAAAGGCTTGGAGATATAGCTCAGTGTGAAGATCCTGGATTCAATCCCCACTGAAAGTAAAGAGTCTTGAATGTGATCAGTGTACAGGGTGCATCTTTGAGGTGTTAGGGAAACCCATCCAGCAGAGGAGAAATGGACCATTTGGACATTGGCCGAAGCATCAGTCAATTCCTTTAACATTCAAAGCAGATCTTGAGCTAACTATATGGTTTCCTTTGTGGTCCTCAGTGTGTGTGTTTTAAGCTGTTGCTCAAACAGATGGATAATTCATGGCAGAAACCTCTACTTCTCTGGACAGTGCAGGGTAATACCTTCTGAAGTGTCAGGATTATCACTGGCAGTTGGTTTCAAGGGAACCCATTTGTGAGCATCTTCTCTCAGTTATCAGGGGCTCTTTGGTCAGGAGGTCGTGTCCCAGCCCTCTGGTGTTCATGACTTGTCTATCAGCCTTAAATGCCCAAGACAGGAAAGAAGTTGCACTGAAGCAGAGAAGGAGTAGAGTCTGAGAGGAGTGTGTGCTGGAGGAGAGTGTGAGACACAGGCCAGAGGCATCCGGCAGAGAGAGCTCTTTACAAGGCCACCACCACCAACAATGACACTCATGACTAGCTTCACATGTGCTTGTAAAAAGGGTCAGGCTCTACCTCTTTGATGCAGAAACTGATACAGAGGAGTCGCCTAAAGTTACAGAGCTGTTAGAGCTCAGAACCACACCACACCATCTGACTCTGGTATCTGCACTCCTGATCAAGGCCCTTCCTTCTGTTTCTGAGCCCTTCCGTGGCTTTTTCAGGGAGAGAGGGGTGATTAGTGGGAGGGTGATGAAAAGGGGTGTTTTAAGTTTGCAAATTGCTCAATAGCATGTTTCTTTTTTCTTTTTAACTTCTGTCTTGTGTTTTGGGTCATTTCTAGAACATACTCTTGTGGACTTGGTCTGCTGCAGACTAAGGTGAAATCTAGTTTTTAAAATATATGCTTGTAGGCTGGGGATTTAGCTCAGTGGTGCCGTCCCTGCCTTGTAAGTGCAAGGTCCTGAGTTCGATCCCTAATACCGGAAAAATAAAAAATATATATGCTTGCTTAACACTTTCACCTATAAAAAAGACTTGCAGTATTTGTTTTGGACCCTGTCATTTCTATTTGTTGAATGCATTTATTTTGCTGCTTGGGTTCAAACTCAGGGCCTCATTTTGGCTAAGCAGGTATTGTACCACCGAGCTACACACCTTGCTCTGTTGAATTAATCTATAAGATTAAATTTCACTTACAGTAGGTAAAATTTTCACATTCTAAAAACACATTTTTATTCTGAGGTTGGAGGATTGCTTAAGCACAGAAATGCAAGGTTAACCTGAGTGGTATAGTGAGACACCAAATCAAAGAAGAAGAAAAGTATTCCTAATTTTTGTAAGCATATTAAGGCCGTGCTTTCAAACATTTTGAAATTGAATATTCTAAGTTGTTTCCCCTTCTGATGATATATTTTACATTTTTGTAACTCTGAGTAAGCTATGTTTATTGACAGTTTATTTGATTTACCATCTAAGTAATCCTTGACACATAATTGCTGGTCTCAATTTACCCAGATAAGATAAGCAGTGTTCTGTGTGGGGTGATATAACTTTAGCTCTAAATAGAAGACTTTTATTTTCATGAACCTGTTTTCCTAGGTTAGAATATGAACAATACTTTGAGAGATTTGGGGTTTGGACTGGCAGGAGAAACTAGTAGTCCAAGGTCCAAGGTTTAAAGTTTAAATCCACAGACTGCATAGTCTGTGTTTTAGGGACAGGCTGAGATGTGTATATCAGTTTTTCCTCCTATACGTCTTACAAGTATCTCTGTGAGCATTGCTGTAATGTGCTGAAAGCCTCAATCTTATTGCTTGCTTATTAATTAACGTTTTAGGCTCAGGGGAATCTGAGGGATGTGTCTGGTTGTCTTCCTGGTGCCTGGGTTAAGCAGAAAGTTCTGTGTAAGCAGCTGGGAGAGATTCAGAACGCCTTAGTCCTCTCTCTAATTTTAGCTAATCTTTGCAGTTGCTGATGGAGAAAATAAGTACAGTGTCCTATTAATATGACAGGTTCCCTAGGTGGTTGCAGTTTTGAAGATTCTTTGGGTGTCTCTATTCTAAAGTGGATGCTTAGAACTATTGTGTCCAACAGCCAGCTCACCCCTGAGAGCGTGTGTTCCCTGAAGGCAGATCTGACTCCTGGTCCCTTCTGGCCTCTCTTTCATCTTGTGAGTGTCCCATAGGGTCACTCCTATTGTCACCGACCCTCTGTCAAGTAGGAAATGTGCTTTGTTTAAGTCAACTCTGGTTTTTATTTTGGCTTTTAAGGAGATGCCTTATTCAGAGCCTGACCTTTAAAGCATTATTGAAATTTGCATCCACACATAAAAGTAGAGAGTAAGTATAGCATCCCATGTACCTACTGTGCAACTTCAGGAATCACCATTCTGCCAATTTGATCCACCAATCTCCCTAAAGCAAATTCTTCCTTTCCCTTTTCTTTTCTCCCTTTCCTTCCCTTCTTCTCCCTTCCCTTTCCTGCAGTATTTTAACACAAAAATCCAAATAGCTTCCTTTTAATCTGAAAATATTTAGTCTCCATCTGTAACTATATCTGCTTTTTTTTTCATTTAACACGAGTGCCATGCTGAAAACCATTTGAAGTGCTAAAAGCACATCACAATATTAACAGCCCTTCTTCAGTATCATCTAATACCCAGTCCATACTCAGATTTTTTCCCTGTACTATCAAAGATACTTTTCTAAAGTCCTTTCCTTTTCTTTTTGCAAGCTCTTGATTTGTTGAAGGAGCTGGATCATTGGGCCTAAGATTGCTCTAAAGATTGCTTCCTGGAGGTATTGCTCATTTGTGTTTCTTATAAGCTGGTAGTTAGATCTGGAGGCTTTGTTAGATTCAGGCTCACCCTTTTTAGAGCCTGACTTTCTAATATCTAGATGTGCATTGAACATAACAATAATAGCATGGGAATTAGAAAGACCTTCCCTTCTGAAATCAGAGATACAGTGGTGTGGGCAGATGGGACCAACTGATAGTCAAGGCATCAGCATGGAGGCTCTGAGTTTCAGCTAAAATGCACAGCTCCTGCTGGTCTGCAGCAGGACGCAGAGGAAGAGGTAGCATCTCTCTGGTTAGGAAGCTCTTGCAAGTAACTGCCAGGTGATCAGCAGTGAGCAAGCAATAGCTTGACGGTTGAACAAAGGACTGAGAGAGATCAGTTAAGGGAAGACAAAGAAATGAAGTGGGCCTGAAAGGGAAGGGGTGTGGGAGGGGAATGAATAAATCTGGGCCACAGTCCAAACATGGGGCTGTTTCTGGTGTTTGTCACCATGGTTTCTGTTGAAATATGGCCCGATTGTATGGCCACATAGTAGCTCAGAGCAGCAGCCAGTCCTTAGAATATACTGACCTGTTGAACTTTGCAATGTGTTAGGGAATGGCAGCCACACCAAACTCAAATCACAGCTTGAAAGAAGTAATGCCAGCATCAGCAGAAGTGAACGCACTCCTGTATGAATGCCTGAACAGAACATGCGCGAAGGTGAAATGTGGTGCTTCCATACTGTTGAGAAGGGAGAAATACTGGCTGGAATGACTTGGAGTGTTGGCTCCAGGGTGTGGAGAAGACTTATGCAGGGTCCAAACCACACTGTCTTCTCTTTTTTTAGCAACTAGTGGGATGGAATCAGTGATGAGATCTAGGATGATGTGTGTCACAAACAACACTAGGACACTAAAGAGAGGGAGTGGAGAGACTCTTCTAGTTATGTGACCCCAGACTAGTTACTTAGTGCATCAGTGGCTCGTTTTCTCCTTCTGTCAAGTAGAGATAATAATGTGTCGTCTCCTAATTGGGTTGGATGATTTAAGCAAAATATACGTGTTAAGAACTATGCCTGGTCCCTACTGTGTGTCTAAGCATGTGGAATAGTGCCTGACATTTTGCAGCACTCAGTAAATAATGTTGAATGACTGCATACATGTCAGCTATTACGCAGAGACAAGGCATCATTATTACATGTTGTGTCAGCTGATACCATGTCGATAAACGCTAGCATTGCTAGCGAAAAAGGTTACGACTTTCAGTTTTCGGGAGGTGTATCGGGGAGGTTTATCAGGGAGTAAAAGTGAATTGCTCAGGTATCTACTGGGCTTCATGCAACCCTGGAACTATTCAGAAAGCTGTGAGTGTGTGTCATGGTCTGTTATGGACAGATTCTAAGACCTTATGTGTCTAAATGATGCCTCTTTGGAGCATTCCGTACAGACTTCTAGCACTGTTTCGGTCCTCTGTAGTATTTCTTCACTTTTATCATAGATTTGTGCATATGTCACTTATAGACTTGTATGAACTCCTAGAGGGCAGTAATGCTATGCATAAAGTATCGGTTAGTAAATTCTAGATGCCTAAGCCAGGTATACTTTCAGCAAGGCAGGAAAAGCCTTCAGGTCGAAATGAGAAGTAGTTGCCCAGGGCACGTGTGTTGGAGACATGTTATGTCTGGGTCTGCCCTGTGGCCACAGGGAGGTAGATAAAGGGACCTTCTAAGCACCCATTGCATCTAGCTGCAATTCCGCAGGCCTGTGGTGGACTCCAGACTGTAGGTATTGACCTGATGCCCATGGTATCTCAAAGAGGAATGAGATGAGTTTCTACCTGCAAAGCACCACAGTCAGGCTGTGGAGCTGAATCCGGAGCAAGCTGAAAATGGAAGAAAGTAGAAGGCGGTTGGTGCTATGAGCCAAATGATGGCCCAGATGGATGTCAGGAGAGGAGAATGTAGCCTGCAAGCTGAGTAAATGGAGGTTTTATCAAAAGTATGCAAGCAGCAGCCACAACATATACAGAAAGGACAGGATTTGCCTCTTTGGGTCGGCTTTTCATGTTTTCCTGAGGTTTGTTTCCCTGAGATCAGGTGTGGGAAGGCCCATGTCTCTGTTTTTACTACAGACAGCCTGCAGCTGGTGTCTGATCTGGACCTGGGTCCCCTCTGTTTCTACTTTGCAAGCTGCATAGCAATCTGGCCATTAAGGCCACTTTGAGTTGAAAGACCAATCTGCCACTTCTCAGATGGTCTTGATTTCCCTAAATGCGGACCAACACGGTGCCTACTTCCTTCCTAGGGTTGTTGTGTTAGTAAGATAACAGGCATCACCATTATTAGCGGGCTGAAGTTGGGTGGGACAGGACACTCAGAAAACGGCGGTGTCTGTCAGGTGCTCACCTGTATGCCTAAATCACCCACAGTGACGTGGAGCTGTCACACCCTGCTGCTTCAGCGCATTTTGGGGAAGATTCCTAGATTTCCAGCCATTTCCTGTGGATTTCTAGTATTAAAAAGTCCGCCATGCGTGGAAGGCATTTTAAAGTGTCTCCCTTACGCCAGGCTCTAGAGTCAGAGAATGTTTTTGTTGTTCTTCCTTCACTTCTTTGCTTCCTCTCTCCTCCTGACCACTCCATCTCACTTACCGTCCCAGAGACTTTACAGGGATCTCTCCCTGATGCCCTGTCCAGCTGACCTTCATAGCCCTCCACCCTGGGTCTTGTCCTGGGCGTCCTGGTCCTGCCGACAGCCCACCTGCCTGTGGGCTTTTTAAGGGAGAGTCCTTTTCAGGGGAAGCTGGCATTCTGAGCTGCTGCCCTTGTTCCTGAGGGAAATTCAGCAACCGGTTTTGCCAGAGTTGCCCTTGCTGCCTGCTCTTCTGTGCTGCCATTCTGGCAGTGACCACCAGGTGAGGGGCAAAAGCCCCACAAGCTGCCCACAGCTCCTTCTACGTTGTCCACAAACAGTACAGAGAGGACTTGGGAGCTCCCTGGGCCATGGGATGCCCTGTTTCTGTCCTGTGAACACCTTCACCTTTCTCAGGAGTTTTATCCCCAGGGAAGCTTGAGGGGTTGCTATGGAGTGCTCCTCTCCTTTAACTTCTGTTGCCTGGGCCCTCCTTCATAATCATCTCTACTGGGCGCTGACATGGGCTGGGACAGGCCAGTTTGGCCCCTGAGTAGCAGGTCCTGTGAGAATGGGTCTTGTGCCTGTATTTAGGAAGTGGAATATTTCTCCGCCACTGTGCTTAGCTTTGAGTGCACAGGAAGAGTCCCAGCTCTTCATGGAGCAGTGCCTGGGGGATGGGGAATCTCCAGGGACTGTTGGCCTTTCCTGGTCATTAGCTACCTTTATTTATTTATTTATTTTGGCTTCAGTCTTTCTTCTGAGAAATGAGGCTGATGGTAAGCCCTTCTCTGGTTGCCACTTGGGGCTGTGAATGCATATGAGGGTATTATACGTCTACTTTATCTGTATACTTTAGCCTCAACAGAATGGGATCTCTCCACGCATGTTTAAGGCCTTTGTCAGCAAGAGTCACCCGGAATTCTCCTCAAACAGACAACAAGATGCCCAGGAGTTTTTCTTGCACTTGGTGAATCTTGTAGAGGTAAGTCTTCAGAAAAGCTCAGAAGGAGTGAGATGTGCCAGGCCCCGGCCTCCTTCTCTCTGCTTGAGCAGATCCCCCCCACCATCCCTGGTCTTTAACTAGGCTCCGGGCAGCTTTCTCTGCTCGGCTCACTTGATGCGGTGGCTCTCCACACCCTGGGCTCCAGATGCTGGTGGATCACTCTGTGCTTTTAATCTGTGCACACTGTAGCAATGCTTGTCAGTTAATCCACTGGCCAGCTTTTGGGGTCTCTGGATGAAGCCCTTTGAGAGCACCATAGTGTCCTGCCACCCTGAGGTGCTCACACTTTGTTCATCATGAAGTTCAATCACATTAAACACTGTATTTAAAAAAAATTGTTGAGAATTCCTGAGCAAAACTTTTATACCTCTTTAACCACCCCCCATGACATGACTATTCTGTGGAAAAGGAGAAAAATCACACCCCTACCCCCTGATAATAGCAACTCCTATAAACTACTGGTTAATATACACAGGTTACACGTGACTTCTCTGTATGTTGTTTTTAAAGCAGTGATTTCCTCTAGTTTGTTATGAACTCGTTGCCACAGCATTGCATATTCCAATATAGCATGATTTCTTTTTTACTTGAATATAATCTACACAAGGACATTTATACAGTTATATCATCCATGCCTTAATTTTCCCAGGAGTTTTTCTTTAATTTTTTTTTTGCCTTGCTCTTTCACTTGGCTCCTTTCCCTCTTTCCTCTAACTCTTTGTATGTCAGTCCTTCTCCTTATGATTTTTACTGACTGCATAATATTGCTTTGTAGATGAACTAAAATTTATTTAACGAAACTGTCAGTTTTGAACTTTAGATAAATTTCAGTGTTTTGCTCTTAAAGTGCCCTGATGAATTGTCACGTCCAAAGGAAATATTTAGTAAAGCCAGCTGTTTAAACTACATTTGTAGCTGATGTTATGCTAGCTTTTATTCATGGCTAAATATTCCTGTATTTACTAACTCAATACAATCCAACCTTCAGAGAAATCGTATTGGCTCAGAAAACCCAAGTGACGTTTTTCGTTTTTTGGTGGAAGAACGTATTCAGTGCTGCCAGACCCGAAAAGTCCGCTACACAGAGAGGGTGGATTACCTGATGCAGCTGCCTGTGGCCATGGAGGCCGCAACCAACAAAGGTAGCGGTTCCAAAGCACAAGAGCAGTCACGTGTGTCTTCCTCTGGGAAACCTTCACGGAGATCACAGGGCTGAGTCTGCGGAGGGTGGAATCAGGAGTGGATCCAGCTGAGATGAGAAAACATCTGGTTTGCACATCTCTTTTCATCTTTTCCTTAGTCCCCATGTGTCTTGCCAGTTTTATGTTGGGTTTATGAGATGAGCCTACTTTAATCCCTATGAATTTGGCCAGCTAGTTGGATTGCAGTCAGTGTAATTTTGGGGGAAATTAATGGTAATGAAACATGTGGAAGATTCTTCAGCGTCATTCATAAGTTGTGCTATAAAGTTGGAGGGAAACTTATCTCCTGGGAGATAGGTTGTGGCAAAACACTGTAGGAGTGAAGCCCATTAGAAAGGTCTCTGGACCTTGGAAGGGAGGAGAAGTCAGAGAGGGATGAAGCAGCTGTGTCGAGTTCTCAGGGGATGGTATCTTGGCCTGTTGTTTGATCTAGTCCTCAGGTAGCACAGACAAATGGTATTGTTTAGAATTGATATATTAGCTCAGAAAAAGATAAGTTAGATGCTAGATTGATCTTCTTTCGCCCAATGGTCATTTTTGTACAGTTCAACATTTGTTGGTTGTCCTGTTTTCCTCTGTTGGTGGGAACTCAATTTATGCTGCGAATTGGACAGCACAATGGTTATGATGATGACTTTAAGATGAAATTCTTCCTATCTTCGGTAGGCTCACACTGCTTTTAATCAGTTTTCAAATTCTTACCCATTATAGGAGGTAGAAATAAGGGGAGTATGTGGTTTGCTTCCTTTTTAGAATTAAGGTTAATTGCTGCAGGGTTAATGATTTACATGTCTACCCAGTTCTACAAGCCTAAATCACAGCGAGAGATTCTCTGGAGATTGATAAATTTATTTGAGAGTAGCTTTGCAAAGGGCATTCTGTAGTAAACTACATATGTATTTGTCTTGCTTTTCTTGTTGATAGGACAAAATAGCCTACACCCACAATTTAAGTCTGGAGAGTTATTTTGGCTCGCAGTTTAGTCCATAGTTGGCTGGCTCCAAGGCAGGATGGCACAGGGGTATAGCAGAGGGGACGCTGTTCATGGCCTGGAGGCAGAGAAGCAGAGAGAGAGTGAAGGGAGGAGCTGGGAGGGGAGATAAACCCTTCCAGGCAATGAATGTCCCTAGTGACTCACCCTTTCCAATCAGACTCCAGTGCCTAACAGCAGGTGTGTAATCCAGTCATCCTTCAAAAGCCCCACTTATGATCACATGACGCTTTTGGGGACATCTAGAAATAAACCATAACAGAATTCAAAGAAGTTAAAGCAAGGAGAAGTTTTTAAAGGTAAATGAGAATTGCTTGTTTTTATAAATAATCCTTGGCTACTAGGACTAATAACAAGTGTGCATTGGTCAACTTTCCCATTGCTGGAACAACATACCCAGCACCCAAGACTTATAGGAAGAGAGGTTTAATTTGGCTGATGGTTGCAGAGGGCTCAGTACATGGTCAACTGGCTCCACAGCAGAAATATCATGGTAGAAGGCCTGGTGGAGCAAAGCAGGGAAAAGTGCCAATAAGAGATAGATCCTCCAAAGCAAGCCATCAATGACCCACTCCTAAGTGGACCCCCATCTCCTAACAGCACATTCAGCTATGAATACTAGTGGATTAATCCAATGATAAGTATAGCTCTCCCATGACTCCGTCACTTCTCCAGAAGTCCCTTAATCTAGTCCAGTTGACCACTGGGAAGGTCTGGCAAAATACCACACCTGATCAACTTGACACCTAAGTAATTACATCTCCTTAAACCATACTTAATTTGCGAAAGAACACACTAACAAGATAATTATTCTGTCTATTATGTGGTAACTATCCTGGGCACAACTAAAAATGCAATGAACCTTTCCCCAAAGTCCCCACAGTTCCAGCACTGCTCAAAAGTCCAAGTCCAAAGCCTCTGAGACTGAAGGCAAACTCAAGGCAGTGAACCCTTGTCAAATAAAAAAAAAAAAAAAAAGGAAATTATGTTTTCCCAATATACAATGGTACAAGTTAAGCATTGTCATTCCCAAAGGGAGGACAGGGGAATAGAAAGGAAAAGCAAGACCAAAACCCAGCAGGGCAAACATTAAATTCTGTAGTTTTTTGACCAGTGTCTGACGCATACAGTAGTGATATGTAAGTTGCAGAAGACATGGGCGGCTGCATCCTTATGGCCTTTCCAGTTGTACCCCATAGGGTCTCTCTCTCTTGGCCTGGCTCTGTTTATTGCTTGCAACTTTGCTTGGTAGAGGTACCATGTGCCTGGTACCTCCAACTTCCTAAGGTGTCTAGGGCAGCTTCTAATTGTCATTCCCAAAGGGAGGACAGGGGAATAGAAAGGAAAAGCAAGACCAAAACCCAGCAGGGCAAACATTAAATTCTGTAGTTCCTTGACCAGTGTCTGACGCATACAGTAGTGATATGTAAGTTGCAGAAGACATGGGCGGCTGCATCCTTATGGCCTTTCCAGTTGTACCCCATAGGGTCTCTCTCTCTTGGCCTGGCTCTGTTTATTGCTTGCAACTTTGCTTGGTAGAGGTACCATGTGCCTGGTACCTCCAACTTCCTAAGGTGTCTAGGGCAGCTTCTGTGACACTCCCATAGCTCCCTGCATTGTCATCTCAGGGCCTCCTGCAGGGATTTTGAAGACCCTGCCATAAATGTCTTGGGTCATTTGGCCTTCATTTCAAATCTAGGTAGAAATCTCCATGACCCCATAATTCTTGCACTCTGCATGCCTGTAGAACCAGAATCATGCGGACAGCACCAAGGTCTGTGGCCAGCGTGAGCTGTAACCAGGCCCCTTGGACCACAACTTCAGTGGCTTCTGAGTTCTTAGATGACTGAACGTGGTGAAATGAACCCTGAGAAGTCAAGTCCTTCTGGAGCAGGAGGCCCAGGGGCTTTCTTTTTGAATGAAGGGTTTATAGTTTTGTACCCTTGAGCCTGCAATGAGTAGGGTCTTCCTGATTCCTGAGATGGCCTCAGGGATCTTCTTGATCAGTAGGAAGTATTTGATTTCTTTTTAAAGGAATCAATCTCTTTAGTGACTGCATGTCTTTGGACCACAGCTTTAAATGTTTCTTTTCTGGCCCAAAATTTAAGTTTTTCAAATCTTTCTGCTCTACTTTTGTTCCTGGTTCTCACTATGAGTATGGCCAAAAGCAGCCAGCAGCCAGCAGCACCTAAACAATGGACTGCCTTGAAAATTTCTCTACCAGATCAGTTAGTCTGTAGCCCTCAAATTCAGCCTCCCACAAATTCCAGAGACATGGGCAAAACATGTTTTTTTTCTTATTGGTTCTTTTTTATTTTTTATCCTTCTAAAGTGTAACTTGCATGGCCCCTAGACCAGTTCCCAGTAGCGTCCTCAATTCCTCAATAGTGTGGAATCTCGTAAGATTAGCCTTTCCTGTCCAAATTCCTAAAGGCTTTCTGGTCTTTGGAGATCCTACCAATACGCCCGTCAAACTGTTTGCCGTATCCTCCCGGGTATCTCTAGCCCACATCTCTGTACCTTTCTAAGCTTCTCTCACAAACCAGTTCCACAGGCTTCTGAACCACACAGTCAGGTCACAGTAACAACCTCATTCGTGGTTCCAGAGGTTTCAGTCCATGTTGTTTTGCTGGCACCAAGGCTGGAACATCATGATAGAAGGGCCTGGTAGAGCAAAGCTCCTCATTTTATGGAGATTAGGAAACAAAGCCCCCAGGGTGGGATACACCAAAGGCACTGCCTCGGTGACTCACCTCCCATCGAGCCCTGCATCCTAAGGGCACATTCAACTAAGGCACTAGCAGCTGAGTCCGCCGCTGAGCACAGGCCCTCCCCATCATCCGTTTACCTCTCCAGGAGTCACTGTAATCAGTCAAGTTACCACTCAAGGTTATGTGGCACGAAAGTGTGAAGGGTCGATAACAGGGCTGGCACCAATTCAAAGATGAACAGACAACTGCTAAAGTTGTCCTTACAGAAGTATTTTCTGCACGAGACAGCAGTGACCCTTGTGCCTGCCTGTAGTTCTGAAGGCCCTTTGTGGTGGTCTTATCATTAGACATAAGCATAAGATCCCCTTCATAGCTTCTCAGCTTTATTTACTTACCTTTGTTGTTAGGCTTTGACAAAAGTGACTCCATTTTGATTCTAACCACATTTTCAGTTCGGTGCTCTTTAACTCACTGTTCTTAGGATGGATAGCAACTGTTTTTTAAAGAAGAGATATTTATAATTTAGTCTCTGGAATTTGGTAGGAACAGCTAATATTAGCATCTTAGATTAGTAAATCATAAACTGACTGTGGGTTAAGGAACGAATTATAAAAGCTATTCCGAGGCATTGTAGGAGAATACATAATTGCAGAGATGTGCTTAAAAACATATATTGGGAGTGATCTTTTTGTTTGCTGTTTGGTAATATGAAAGAATAGGCTGGAATAGTTGTTCAAAATATATGTAGAAAATGGACTCCAGTTAGTTTCCTCCCTTTTGGGAGGTTCCTGGCATGCTCATTTCTTTTTTCTTTAACATTTGATCACTTAAGTAGGGATTGTACAGAGAAGCCTTCCAGATGGTCCCTCTGATACCACACGTGCTGGTAGCCTCCACAGGAAGGGGTCTCACAGTGTTGGCCGTCTTGTGGGGTGTGAGACGGTGCACAGCTAAGGTCCTCATATTCATACTTTTTGGTCCCACAGCGTTTGGAGCCGTGACCAGTGGTCACATAGCCGGTGGAACTGAGGCAGAAAATATGTGACACTGGCTCCAGTCAGGGCCGAGAGCTCAGTTGTAGTTCTTCTTGTTTTTAGTTGTTTTCTTCCCTCTTCTCTTTGTCATTTTATTTTAGGATGGTTTAAAGGTAGCGGAAATATTTTTATTAGAAATATTTTTCTTTTGTGTGTGTATGTCTGATTATTGGCACGATTTGATCTGACAGTTTTAACACCCTTTCTGCCATCACAAAGTGGAGATAGTGGAGGGTACCGGTTAGGGTTTTACGTTCAAATTGGTTGGACATTGATTGATTTTGACCGCAGGACTCAGTTTCTTGGCAAGGCAGTGAAGGGCCTGGGAAACAGTGAGCCTATGGATCTTTTTCAGCTTTAAAGTTCTCTGGTTTGGGTCATGTCAGCCTTGACCTCTGGGCAAACGAAGCACCAGGTTCGTGAACTGAGTTCACAGTTAGCTCCCGTCAGCCTCAAAGGGGAAGAAAAGAGGGGGAAAAAAAAAAGGCCCCATGCAGGCTGTCAGTGCAACTCCCAAGGTGACTCCAAGCACAGCATTTCAGCAGGCACATCCAGATCTGGGAAGGCCACGGAGAGAGCAGCCCAGCCCGGACAGCTTCAGGGAAGATTGTCCAAAGAGTGTTTTTTAATTTCGAGCAGATAAGAGCAATTGCCAGGTCACTCAGGTACTTTTTTCCTCAGATGAACTGATTGCCTACGAATTAACACGAAGGGAAGCCGAAGCAAACAGAAGGCCCCTTCCTGAACTGGTGCGCGCCAGGATACCGTTCAGTGCCTGCCTTCAGGCTTTTTCGGAACCGGAAAACGTTGATGATTTCTGGAGCAGTGCCCTACAAGCGAAGTCTGCGGGTGTGAAGTGAGTGTGGGGTGGTAGTGGGGTGAGGGGGCGTTGAGAGGTGTGGGGAGGGATGGGGTATGCTGTGCTCGGTTGTTCACGTGTGGTAGTGTGGGACTGAGTCATACACCCTAACCGAAACAGACTTCACTTCTGTGAGGCCTGTCCAGTAAGACAGGCTCTTAATATTTTATCTCCTGTGCTAGAGAGAGGGTGCCTAGTTTTTTCTTTTTGTAGAATGCCAAATTATGATTTTTCCTCCATTAGGAAATTGCCTTTTCTTTTATTTTGGAAGTTGCATCCCACATTCTTATCCCCAAATGCTAAGAGTGATTGTTCATGCAATAAAACCACTTATGGCAGGCTTTAATATTCAGATTCCACTGTGTAGTCAAGATGTGGTTTAGAACATGTTTGATTGTGTCCCTACTTAAGGACTAGGAGTCTTGGGGTATCTCAAAGAGGAAGGAAAGGCTTGTGAGCACTGTTCACAAAAGCTGCTCAGGATTTAGGCAATGTTCTGTATTCACATTGTGAGCTGGTATAATTTTTTTTTCTCTTTCTTCTCTCTACTTAATATCTTAATCGATTTGGTATAGTCTGTGCCAGAATACTTTGTATACTGCACCTTATTGGAAAAAGACCAAGTGCTGCTACTTTGAGATGTTCTTTGGCCCTGTTTCTCGGAGGCAAGGGTCGAGTTTTCGGTGGATGGGAAAGAGGCAAGGGTGGAGAGCTGCTGCCGCTGCTGCGACCCCGCTCTCAAACGGCACACAAGCCAAAGCCAAATTCTATTTTGCAGAGCCTTTCCCTCTGGATTCTGTTTTGTTTCAGACTAGAGAGCTTACATTTTATAAATGGGAACAAAACAATTTGTTTTAAACATTGAAAGAGCCATATTAAAAGAAATATTTAGATGAGGATTCATCGAGCGCATTCAGTTATTGGTTTTTCATCCTTGTGTAAGTTTGTACCGGAGGACTGCTCAGTTGTGGTGTGTGGGTGTCTGTGTGCCACGTGTGTTTTGTGCGTGTGCTCGCATGTTTGTCTGTGTCCTTGCAGGTAATAGTTGGTGAGCTGGCATGCTAAATGTGAGAGATCCACTTCACTGTAAGCGTCGGGCAGTTAGAAGAGATCCACACACCTCCTTAGTGGTGGAAATACTTTATTCCGTCGTTAAAAATGGGTTGAACATAGCTCAGACCTTCATCGTTTTCTCATTGTGCTTTTATTCTGATTTTGTATGGGAGATGGAAAGTGATCACAAGACCTGGGAGCCCAGAAAGCCCCCTGTCTGGAGTGCAGATTTCTCCTTTCCCACGACCCTTATCTCTGCATGTGCCCTGCCAGAAAGGAGCCTGCTCAACACGTGGAAAAGACGCATCTTTAAAGTGGGGCTGGGAGGAGTTAGCTTTCCACAGACACATTTTCTGAGTGCTGGGCTAGTGGCCGGAGGAATCCAGATTCTTCTCTTGTGTCCACTTCCCATCTTATCTTCTGTCCTGGGCAAATTCACTACCCGGTGTCCTTCCATCTGTCACGGAGGAATGCCCTTGCTGAGCTGAGTTTCTGCCCAGCACTACCGAGTATTTAGCTGTAAGAGGTATTCTCCCAACTGCCTAGCATCCTTGAGGAGGAATTTCTGCTTTTTGCAGTCTTTAAAGACGATGCTGAGCGTGTTTCCCCCACTTTTCTCTGCATACCTGCATATCCACCCCTATACTTCCTGTCCCTCCTCTTCTGCTTCCTCTCCTTCACGTCTTCTCTGTTACAGGAGATGGGATTACACATGACCTCTGGACCTCAGCATTGAGCTACATCCCCAGACCATTAAAATAATGTTTTGAGACAGGGTTTGGCTAAGTTGTCCATTCTGGGCTTGAATTTGAAATCCTCCTTCCTCAGCCTCTAGAATGCTGGAATTACAGGCGTGCACCACCACACCCAGCTCCATATACTTTTTATATGTGTATGAGAAGAAGTGGTACTGGCTGTATCATAATTGTTAATTGGAAAAATAGTCATTGTGAAATAAAACAACTATCATTTATTACACTCATTGCCACGTCATAAGTTAAGCAACTTCCCATCGAGTACCACATTTAATCTTAGAAGTATGAGGTGGGTACTATTATTCTCCCATTTTACAGATGAAATCAAAGGGGAAATAGTTGGCCACTAAGCAGCAGATTTGGGATCCATCCAGGTCTGACTGAGTTTAGGGATTAAACTTTTTTTAAATGTTAATTTCATTGGTACCTTTTAGGTACACAATATAATGACATTCATCACTGGAATTTGCAGTTTTGCAGAATCCATCTTGGTTCTTCTTTTTTCCCCATCCCCCTGCCCTCCCTTCAACCCCTCCACCCCTCCCTATCTACAGAGACTTTGTTTCCATTTTTTCTTTTTCTTGTGTTAATTCCACGTCCTTCTTTCTTTCCCCTCCCCTCCCACCTCCCCCTTGAACCTCTTCTTAGTATTTCACATTATCTGTTCACACTTTCTTTCTCACACAAACTGTTAATCCTTGTGGTATATAGGCCCCCTCATTTCTTATCATGCGTGCTTGTCTTCTATTCTGTTACAGCCTTGCTTATTCTTTATTATGCTTTATCATTTTCTGTATACTAGTTTTGGAAAAAATAACTAGTGGATTCCTAAAAACTCTTTATTTTTAGCATTGTGGGCTATAACTCAGACTACATTTTGATAATTTGGGATCTTGAACTCCTTTTTTTTTTTTCCAAAGACTAAAAAGCCAGGAAGGGACAACCAGTGTCCTAAAGGCCTTGGACCTAGTGGGTCCATGCAGACCAGATGTAATGGCCTTTCCTAAGATGATCCTGAACGGATCACATCTGGGAAAGGCGTTCGTATTTGGAGTGTTCATTCACTCAGCAAATGTGAGCCCCGCTAGGATACTTTAGGCAGTGAACTAAACAAGACCCGATTCCTGTCTGCCCTGAGAAGCTCACAGTGAAAGGATTGAGAGGGAGAGATTTTCACTTCCTTTTTAGCATTTATGACGAGAACAGCATGGTGTGGGTTCCAGAGCAGACTCCGTGGGCTAGGTGGGTGGCCTTCGAATTTCTAATCTAGAACTTACTGGCATGTGACATTCATTGGCCAAGTGACCTCACCTTCCCTATCTATTAGTGAGGGACAAAGAAAGTGCTGTTTTTATCGAGTTGAGGTGAGGATTAAAGGAACTAAGCCAGGGCTGGGGATTTAGCTCAGTGGTTCCGCTGCTTGCCTTGCAAGCGGAAGTACCTGGAAGGATCCCTAGTACCAAAAACAAAGAACCAAGCCACGGTAAGAGCCTAATACAGTGCCTGACACAGACTTACTCTAGGATGCAATTGTTATTGCTGTCACCTTTGTGTTTCCTTTATTTTTTATTTTTATTTATTTTTATCTTATTGTTATTATTTTTTTTCTGGTACTAGAATCAAACTCAGGACCTTGCACTTGCCAGACAGGCACAATGCCACTGAGCTAAATCCCCAGCCCCTTTGTCTTCTAGATTATATGATTTGAGTATGGTTGATTATCATATTTTCAACATTTTTAGTAGAAAGTGTAGAACCATGGCTTTATTTATTTATTTTTTGTGTTTGTTTCTAGTGGCTGGGTTTTCGGTATATACACAATCTTGATAATTTGAGGGAAAGGGAGGGGTTTTATTTTTTTCTTAATAAAATCTTCATGGTATTTTTGCCTTAACTGTAACTAGTGAGCAGTGTCATTTTAAATAATGTTAATAAGTTGTCAGCAGAAAACATATAGGACCTATTCTAGGCACTTTATATGTCTTTTTCATTTAATTTCTGTAACCACTTTTGGAAATATATTGATTATCCATCTAGGGGCAGCCAGCCTTTTCGCCTGGGCCACACTGAGTGAGGAAAAATTGACTTGGGCTTCACAGAAAATAGATAACATAGTTAATGTATATGTAAAAAGACAAAATTTCCTTTTTTAGGAAAATACTTTTTGTTATAACATTCAAAACAGAGGTGAGCATCCTGTGGGCCATGGATAGGGTGCGCCTGAATTCCTTTTTGTTTTTTTGTTTTTTTTTTGGTGCCGGGGATCGAACTTGGGACCTTGTGCTTGTGAGGTAGGCAGCAGAACCACTGAGCTAAATCTCCAGCCCCTGAATTCCTTTTGAATGATTCACATTCTGACAGTTTTTACTAAAAACACATAGCTTTCCAAAAAACATTTTTTTTTAATTTCAGGAATTTTAAGAATAAAAAAGCATGCAGAGCATAATTTATGACTTTTCTGGATTTGATGAACAGACTTGATATCCCCAAACTGTTATTAATGAGTGCAAAATGTCACTTTCTAGATTAATTGGACTGCGTATGTATGGAGCAGTCACTGAATGTATGATTCAACCTAAGACCCCACAGAGGTTGCAGAGATGAATAAAGAATGTTTACCAGAATGGGCAAGTGCAACGTGGGAACCATCTAGGCTGCTTTTTCGTGCTCTTAGGTCGGTGGTTACCCATAACAAAATGATGGGTTAAATTGTCACCATCCTCTGCCCCAACCTGGCGCTGTCCACTCCCCCTAGGCCAGCGACTTCCAGCTGAAACTTTCACCCAGACATTGACCGCAGGCCAACAGCAGGACTCTGGGAGCTCCTGTATCACAGTTTGCAAATCATCGAATTACCGATGACTTTCGCTTGATTGCACTTTGGGTTGATTACATGGTTTTCCAGATTTTAGGTTAATGTAAGAAGAGAAGGTCAAACAGGTAGTTTTTACATTAGTTGAAGATATCATAATACCAGATGGTAAAATTGAGGACATGGCTACATTTAAATAAAAAGGATGCTAATTACTACTTCCCCAAAGGTTGGAAAACCTAATGAGAAATAACATACATTTCTGGAGAGAGAGAGAGAGCCAGGATAATAATCAGTATCTTAGGACGAGAAGCCTCTGTTTCCTGATCATCTCCCTTACAATGTTGCCTGTAGCCTTCTACCATCCTTGTGGGTGAAGAATATGAAATATAGAGAAGTTATACAACTTGTATACAATGCAGGTTAGTAACAGACCAAGTCAGTGTCCAAAATCTCATGGGCTGACAAATTCATTTGGATTCCTTAGGTGTACACAATTCCTTCTACTGTGCTGAGAGGTTTTTACATTACTTCATGAACACTGCACAGCCCTAGAAATAAAAAGTCCAATTGTTAGATGTAAAAACAGAGCCCTAAGAGGTCAGTGATTTGCTGAGATTTGCGTGGATTAAGAGTATATCCACGTGTTTTCTACCTTTTTTGTCCCAGATCTGCCTGCTATGGCTTCTATTCTACACTAGAGGGCAGCAGTGTATTTACTTTGTGAATTCTGGGCCAGTGCAGTCTAAATAGAAGACAGGAGTTCCAGATTTTTTTTTTTTTTTTTTTTTTTTTTTTGGTAGTGGGAATCCAACTCCAGACCTTGTGAGGCAGGCAGCAGAACCACTGAGCTAAATCCCCGGCCCAGAATCTTTTATCAAAAAAGTATGTGTAGTACCTGTCTACAGCTCATTTTTTTCTTCATGTATGATCATTAATAATCAAATAGAAATGGTTGTCACAATAAGATGATAAATGTGGAACAAATGAGGTCAGAACAAGTATACATTTAATTTACAAATTCAATAATTGGTGTGTAAAATTGTCAAACCTATGTCCAGGCATTTGTCCTTCCTAAAGGTTTGAGGAGAACTCAAGATGTTGTATCTAGGTATTTATTAATTTCAAAATTTAAGAATCAGCTGTAGATAGTTTACCATAGATTATCATGACACAGCTACTCCAGAGATCCATGTGACTGTGAATTTCGTATTTAATAAAGTCCCAGCATTTCCACTAGTCAATCTCAACCAAAGTTAAACTGTACTTATACCAACTCTGTGATTCTCGGTAGGTGAGCGGATGGGGTGTTTCAGGACCACTAGGAGAACTTTACAGACAGATAACGCAGACAATGCCTATAAATACCTATAAGTAATATATTCTAAATTCCAACAAGGATTTTGGGAAAACAAACAGAAATCTAAGATTTCTCAGCAAAGTAAATATAATAGTTTTGAAACAGGCCCCACATCTCTCAAGGCACAGCATTCTTCCACATTACCCATTTTCTGCTTGGGGTGCAGTCAGGACAAGTGAGCAGGTGTGAATGAGTGTGTGCACACCTACGTGACGGTGTGTGTGTTCCTCTTCTCAGGCCGATCATCAGAATTGCAGGGCGGCCTCAGACCGAGCTTATTTTACTTCTTGAACTGTATTCACCATTCTTTTTGCCTTGTTTGATTGATGTCATCACCTTGTGTTTCCCAGAACATCTCGCTTTGCCTCATTCCCCGAATACTTGGTAGTGCAGATAAAGAAGTTCACTTTTGGTCTTGACTGGGTTCCCAAAAAATTTGGTAGGTACCTTTTGCATGTTTTTGCTTAAAACATCAAGCTAACCACTGACACCACCTGACATGTGAAAGAGCCGGAGTAGTTGGCTGCCGCAAACAGTTCCATTTCATTCTTCCCCCGCCACTGTCCCCACTTTTCTCTTTCAAATCGGCACATGTGTGAGCACTGACGATAAAAATCACCACTTGCTTATCCACTTCTCCAAGAATGGGTTCTGGAAGGACTGACTTCTAAGAGTGCTCACGTTATCAAATAAAGAGTGCTTGTCACTGCGCATGCAGATGGCCCGGGTTCCTGGTAAAATGCAGATGCTCATTTGGCCATCTCAGGTGGGCCTGTGATTCTGTTTCTGACAGGTTCCCCCGGAAATGCTGGTTGACTACTTTGAGAGGCAAAGTAGTTGAAGATAAACTTTATCTCTGCCTCTGAGGCATCCAGGTGCAGCTAATGAGATTCACTTACATCATACAGATTTTACTAAGATAAAAACAGTTGCATTAAATGGCAAAAAAGGGGGCGGGGAATGTGATGTCGATTTCCCTGGGCCTGCTTCTTACTAATTTTAACTGCCCTTGTTAGAGGCTCACTTTTCAGACAACATGGAGCAGTGTTTTCCACCAGGGTGGTCCATTGCCAAGCTCCCAGGCTATCCTCCGTGCAGTGCAAGAGGCTACAATTTTACCCACTGCCATTTCTCAAGAAAATACCTCAGACTGTCAGGCTCTCGCAGTTTTTGTTTTCAAACACTCAAGGAAACAAAACAAAGCTGGACGAGGCGAGTCTTATTGCTAACTGAGCACTCATGGAACACAGACTCAGCGGGAGAGCCCTCCCAGGTGCTGCCCTGGTGCTGCTGGTACCCGGGGCTTTGCCAGCAGAAGGGGTCCCGGGGCTGTTCCTGATGCCTCAGGAGACCCTCACTTTTCCTGTGGTGAGGGTTTGGAGCAGTGGGGACTGAAGGCAGGATGCTTATCACTCAGCCACTCTGCAGGACCCTTGAGAGTCCTTGAAGTTCTTGACTTGTTCTGATGGCTTTGAACAGCTTTGAAAAGAGTTTTCTTATTTTCCTTAGCCCTTGAAATTTCTGTCAAGGAGCAAAAATTTGAATCAGATTTTATTGACTTATCGAGTTTAGAAATGTCCTGAATCTTTCTCTTGGGGAACATTTGTATCAGTTTTATTGGTCAGATTTTGTTTGGTTTTGCTGCCCCCTTGAAACTGAAAATTTTTAAAGCCTAGCTTTGTCCTTTGGTTTGATGTTTTAAAATATGATTTTATATACCTGTCATCATAAATGATTTGGGGGACTGTATTTTTCAGGTTTTCTTTGCTAGCCCGAAAGACATATCCTGCACCAGTGTGTGAACTTATTTTTGGTTATTATCTTATTTGAGTATATGTGGTACTCAATCTCAACATGTTCTTAGGCTGATAAATTGGAATTTGAGAAAGTCATCATAAGAATAACTCAGTTAATAGATTTTTAAAAACGTGCCCTAAGGACTAATGCATTGGAGATTCAGTTAATTTTTTAAAACTCCTCTCTTTATTTGTCACCATAGTTAGAATGATCACGGTACTTGCTGTGGTCTGAGGAAAAGTACAGACTCGGTGTTGGAAACTCAAATGCCTCACAAGGACTGAGGAATAATCTAAATGAAAGAAGTAAATTGGGTATGAGAAATACATAGCCGTCTCGATCTGGCTGGGACGTTCCCACTTTGGCTAAGACATAAATTAGAGAAACATTTCTCTGCCCTAAGAATCTGACCAGCACCAGTATGATGTGCAGGGTCGTAGGGTGACGGTGCAGGGGGGTGTCTGTGTCCGACTGTTGCGGACTTACGGACTGCAAGGCGGAGAACAGCTCCAGACAGCTGTCACCAGAGGACCGTGTGCTCCTGGGTTATGTTTTTCAAAATAAGCGTGGAGCTGAATTTTATAATTAATCTACTTATTTAAAACTTGGGTCATATTGCTAACATCTTAAAAATACCAAACAATGTGTTTGGCCCATCGATGGTCTCTGGGTTGCAGTCTGAGGCCTGAGGCTGGACTGATTTGTTCCTGCCCCGCTCTGTACTTTCCCCAGGCTCCCCATTAACCTCTCATTGGTCTTGATGAAGCTCCTGGCCCTGTCATGTGTGTGCTGAAAAGCCTCCGTTAGCTCCGCTTGGATACATGCATGTAGGGTGTGCAGTGCTGGTTTTAAAATGGTGCTAAGTTTACGGAGGGTCCAGTCCATCTAATCTCTCTCACGGTTTATGAACATTTGCAGATGTTTCTATTGATATGCCAGATCTACTTGACATCAACCATCTCCGAGCCAGAGGGTTACAGCCAGGAGAGGAGGAACTTCCAGACATCAGCCCTCCTATTGTCATTCCTGACGACTCCAAAGGTACCAACTCCTGCCGGGGGGGTGTTCTCTACTTGCTGCCCTCCCTTCATAGGAACACCCACTTTCCTCCACTTCTTATGGAGTCCCTGACTGCCTTCCTGTGATGTAGCCCAGCATAGCCATACATCTCTGAAGTGTGGCTGCAGCTGTACACTTATAATGCACATTGTAAGAGGCACAGACCCAGCAGGCGTAGGTGAAATGGACAGATTTTAGATTATGTTGCCTCTGGCTTTGACTGCTTCCCCCACATGGGGGAAAAAAGGGATATTGTTTACCCCCTGTTGAGAAGAAAAAGAGTATTTTTTCAGTAGGCTTTTAGGTTAGCGGAGCTGTGTTATTCTTGGACATCCAGAAGAAGGAAATGCAAAAGGGCGTGTTGACTTTAAAAGCCTTGATCATATTTCATCTCCCCAGTTTTGTCAGTGCTTCATAGCAAGGGAGTGGTTTGAGTTTCTTGTTCACTCTGCAACTGTTAAATTGGTCATTAACTTCAAAAAGGGGAAAGTTCATGCAAGAAATGGTTGCTTCATCTTTGCCCGTTTAAAAATACTCTGAGAAAATTCTTGATTTAATTATTAGCTCAGTTATTCTGATGAAATCAGCTTCTTTCTGGCTTTGCTTGCTCTTTGTCTTCCTAATGAGTTCATTAGGTAGATTAGCTAATAATGAGAGGGTACTCTGGGCCTCTGCCGGAGGCTTCGCATCAGTTGAGCAGTGAGTATTTTTGGTGATTGATACTCAGTGCCAAAGAAGAGAAGTAAGAAAGTCCAGAGAAGCAAAGGGGATCCAAGAATGATAGGCTTGTCTTTTAGATTGTTCTCCAACAGGCAGTCAGATGCTCAACTGCAGAGACAGATGAAAGAAAGGAACTGCATGTGAGACCCTCCGGGTCACACAGAGAGGAGTTAGGAATGCAAGTAACCTCCTTGTAGGGGTCAGAGAAAGGAGATGTATGAGCAGCAGAGAAATGCAAGCTGGTTTATTAGGGCTGCTCCCTCTTTTTCTAATGTTCAAAACAGAACCTTTGGTTTGCAATTATACAGAGTTGTTAGAAGTACACCTAAAGGAATTATTTAGGTTGTTAAGATGCTAATCAGAACATCCTGTTTTATCAGTTCTAAGTGCCTACAGTGTGTGATTTACCCCTTTACTATAAGGACTTTGTGTTGTGCAGGCTGAGACGGTCTATGGACTCTTTCTGGGTGAGGGAGTCTGGGAATGCGTTAATCTATGATTTTACTTTCTGCAAAACTCATCGTCATGGATTGGCTTGATCTCATTTTCTCTTTTCTTCCTTCATTTTCAGATCATCTGATGAACCAAATGATAGACCGTATGTACCTTTTAAAAAGTTTTTGGGTGTCATACAGTCGTTTCAGTCTGACTCATTTTTCAGTGAGAGTTCAGTACAGAGGCCTTGTTCTGTTTGTGTGTATGGAAAGCCTTTCCTGGGTGGGAACAATTCTTTTTCCTGCAAGTTGAGTAAGGAGCAAATATGTGTGTACCAGTGACAGGTGATGAGTGTCCCTGTCGCTCTGCAGTGACCATTAGTATGGAAGCCACCCAGGCCTGAGTGGAAATCTTGCCTTGGCTATTTAAGTTGACCTAGTGGCACTATTTCTTCCCTCAAATAGTTTATTATTTGAGTGGCTTCAAAAAAAGTCAAACCATTGTCTCACACTGCTCAAAATAGCACTTTCTTTGGGTAATAAGGGGGTGAATGGCCACGAAGACAAGATGAAATGGAGAGTCGACTTTTTCCCATCTGAATACCCTGTTGTGCCTGCAGCGGCCGACATTGATGAGTCATCGGTGATGCAGCTGGCCGAGATGGGCTTCCCGCTAGAAGCGTGTCGGAAGGCTGTGTACTTTACTGGAAATATGGGAGCTGAGGTGGCCTTCAACTGGATTATTGTCCACATGGAAGAGCCTGGTAGGTGGTGGGACTAGGACGGGTTTTAGAGGTTGAGACCATCCTCAGTGATGCTAAGCCATGGTCCTGCCTTGTCCCCTGGGAGCGTGTCCCCAGAAAAATGACCTTTTCAGCTCATCATATTCTGTAGTAGTTGGGTGAAGCCACAGTCTGTCTTTCTTCTGACATCGTCATCATCTTCTCCTTCTCCTTCTCCTCCTCCTCCTCCCTCCCCTCCCTTCTCCCCCTCTTCTTCTTTTGAATACAGCTTTAATAAGATATAGCTGGCTGTTCTAAAATACATAATTCAGTGGCAGAACGATCACTAGAAAGATACAGGGTATAATTCCGGCTAAGAGATGATGAGAACTTAAAGTAGAAACCTGCACGTGAAGGAATGGAGGCCCTTTAGTCAGCTTTTTCTTTCATCTGCTTTACTAAGATATAATTCATATGTCCACCCACTGAAAATATACATTCCAATGACTTTGAGTACACTTGTGATTATACAAACGGTATTACTAATTTTAGAATGTTTTTGTCTACCCCAAAGAAATCCTGCACACATTAGGGGTCACTTCCCCATTTTCCTTCTGTCCCTACTTCCTGGTAATCACGAATCTACTTTCTGGATCCATGAATTTGTCTATTTTGGACATGTCATATAGTTGAAATAGTATAACATGAGACCTTTTGTGTCTACTTTCTGTTCCTTACCATAATGTCTTCAAGATTCACGAGTTGTAGGAAGCATCAGTACTTTATTCCTTTTTATGACCAAACTGTATTTCTTAGTGTGGACATATTACATCTTATTTATCCTCTCATCAACTGATGGACTTTTGGGTTGTTTCCACTTTTAAGATTTTATTTATAATTTTGCTGTAAACATTTGCTCGCATGGTTTATGTGGATAGATCTTTTCATTTCACTTGAGTAGAATTGCTATGTCGCATGGTAACTTCACATTTAACTTTTCGAGGAACTGCCAAACTATTTTACAGAGTGACTAAACTATTTTACATTACTACTAATGGTAAATCAGAGTTTCCTTTTCTCTACAACTTCACTAATGCTTGCTATTATCTCTTTTTATTATACCTGTTCCAGTGGATGTGAAGTGTTATCTAATTTTGAGTTTGATTTGCATTTTTAGAATGACTGATGAAGTTGAATATTTTGACATATATTTGTTAGCCATTTGCATGTCTTTGTTGGAGAATTGTCTATCGATCTTTTTGCCCTCCACCCCTTTTGATGGTTCTAGGAAGCCAACCTCAAGCCTTATACATGCAAAGTAAATGAACTACAACCCTAGTCCTCTTCTTTGCCCATTTAAAAATATCTATCTATCTATCTATCTATCTATCTATCTATCTATCTATAAATGAGGTCATTTGGTCTTATGGAAATACCATTTTTCAGTCCAGAATCCTATCCATGTAAAAGATATAATTTGACCTGTTAGACCTGTTTTTCTTCCATGAATTAAAAACAAACAAACAAACAAACAAAAACTCAGTGCCAGTTATGCTTAAGTTTAGCAGAAACAGAAACTGGTCAATATACAAGAGTAAGTGTTGGGCAGTTATTGCCTGGCCTCCGTTTTCCTTCCTGGAAGGAAGAAGTTACTGTCTTGGGTATGCTTTCACATTCTACATCACATATTGCATAATGACTATAAATGGTCCTAGGTGAAGTGAATATAAAGTATTCAGGTCATACTGTTATTTTAAATGACATGCAGAAATGCTCAGGAAATTGGAACATGGAAAAAAGAGCCTGTTTATACATGCCATGGGAAAGAGTTGAATCTCATGAACATAATATATGCTCAAACCCGAGGGAAACTCAGTGTCTTAGTTACTTTTCTCATTGTTGGGACAAAATACCTGACACCCTCAAGTTAAAGGAGGACAGGTTTCTTGTAATTCACAGTTTGTAGAGGTTTCAGCCCATAGTTGGCTGGCTCCAAGGCAGGGTGGTATGGCAGAGGGGCATCACAGAGGAGAAACAGTCCATGGCAGGGCAGGTAGAGGCAGCAACAGCAGCAGCAGTGAGCCTTCCTTTCCCTTTTATCCCATTCAGGCTACAAGCCTATTGGTTAGTGCCATCATACATACCCAGGGTGAGCCTTCCCGTTATCCATACCTAGAACAACACTAAGTGGACTAATTTATCACACACCCTTAATCCATATTCACACACTCTGTATCCAGCCACCTCTGAAAAGCTCCACCTATGAGCTCTTGAGGCGTTTGGTGGACATCTAGATGCATACCATAGCACTCAGGAAGCAGCAACTCACTGACCATAGACTAATAATTATTTTTGATCTAAGAAGAAATTGTAGTAAGTGTTGTGTATAATGTAATGTCTGCTAGAAACTTTCATGAACATAGGGACTGCTTCTAAGGAAAACAAATCTATTGATTCCTATAATTTCTTTCATGTTAGCCTGACTTGGGGTATTTACCTGATTCATGTTCTGTAGCACATATTAGAGAATGACCCCAAAATGGCCCTGAGTGGGATAAATACTAGCCATGCGATTCAGGAGTTATACAATATTGAGTGTCCTAAGACTGGAATATCATTTTCATCAAGCTTGTGTCATTCAGGGGAGCTGTGTTCATAGCCAATAACAGTTCCTGGACAACTGCGATCCTAGCTCTCTTATAAGTCAATGAAAAACAAATTTGGGGAACTAGTGACTTCCCTGCTCATCTTGACAACTTCATTGTCAGCAAGTCCTTTGGCCTCCATTGAGCTTATATTCACATTCTACATCACCATTTGATGAAAGCATCAATCACCTGAGTGAATTAATGCCAGGGAGCTAGTAATCTGTAATGGACATGCAATAGATTTGAGCTACAGTCTATAGTCTATAATTTCCATTATACTGGAGATATGTAATAACATTTAAAATGAGTTGAAATGGAGAATTTAGGAAGTAAATCACTTCCATTACTGTGACATCTCTTCACTAATCTGAGACATCTCTAAAGTACCAGTACATTGAATGACCAGTTAATTTTGTCTTAAATTTTTCTTTGCTTTTTTGTTTTTTTTTAAAGAGTGACTTAGTTTACACAATACATCTATAATTGCAGATCTGCTTTGGTTACACATTTGGGCCTCAGGTCTCCCCTGCTTTTTTCCCATTCCTGCCTTACACAAGGGACATTGTGAGAACCAAATAAAATAATAATTTTGAAGTTATTTTAAGAAGGTTAAAGTAGGTTCCTGGACCTTATCTCTACCAATGGCTTATAGAAGTAACACTTTCATGAAATGGAAGATGAGTCATTCTTCCCAAGTCAGGTGAAATAAATGAAGCCATAGTGAGTTGCAGCCATTGTTGAAATGTTGAAGGATTTGAATACAATAAGAGTGAATCTTGTGACCAATAATGTAATGCATAGCATGCATGGTTCCATCTTTACTGGCAAGCTGAGACTTTAGCCAACAAGCTTGGTACTCTAGCTGAGGGGGAGTAAGTAGGCATCACAGGAGAGGGCATCAAGTGCTTTGAGCTGAAGGGATTCAGACTCATGCTCACCATGTTTTCTTTTGACAAAGAAGATTAGTGAGCTGTTTGTCACTTAGGCTTCCAGAGTTCTGCTAGAGTCCGCTTATCCCAGAACTGTAATTTTAAAGATATTTATATATATTTCTTTCTGAGCAAAATCTAAGCAGAACCAGTGAAAAACAAAGAGTAATGTTTTCAGTGCTACTGACAGTGATAGTGGATGGTTACATTTTCAAAGAATCCTTGGAAAAATGGTGAAAATGGATCAGTGACTTTGAAATATTCCCTGGGAACTGTTGTTACATAGTGACTGAGGCAGTTTGTAGTGGGAGTACTGTAATTTCTGTTGTTCCTGGAACTTGTACTGTGGGAACAAAAATCCTTTCCTAGTTTTAATGAAGTTATTTTTTTATTGTTGAGTTCTACAACTTCTTTTATATTCTGGATATGAGTCCCTTATCAGATACAAGATTTATATATATATTTTTTCTGTTCTGCTGTCTTTTTACTTTCTTGGTGTCCTTTGAAGCACACACTTTAAATTTTTAATGAAGTCTAATGTACTTTTTAATGACTTGTGCTTTTTGTGTTGCATTTAAGAAGTCACTGCCTAACCCAATGACACAAAGATTTACTTTTGCATTTTCCTTTAAATGTTTTATAGTTTTGGCACCTACAGTAAGGTCAGTGATCCATTTGTTAGTTTTGCTTATGGTGCGAGATAGGGCTCTGACTTCATTACTTTGTCTGTGCATAGCTATTTGTTCCAGCAACATTTGTTGAAAGGAATATCCTTTCCCTACTCAGTGATCCTGTTGAAAATCAGCTGATCATAGGTATATGGGCTTATTTCTAAACATTTGATTCAATTGATTTATATATCTATTTTATGAGTGTCCCAGGTTGTTTTGATTATTGTAATTTTGTAGGCATTTTTCTATCTTAATCCCCAAATGTTGTCTATTTCAAGACCAAAGGGAAAAAAAAAAAAGATTAAAAGCTTTGGGCATGATTTTTTTTCCTCAGATTTTGCCGAACCACTGACCATGCCTGGTTATGGAGGAACAGCATCTGCTGGAGCCTCAGTTTTTGGTGCTAGTGGGTTGGATAACCAGCCTCCAGAGGAAATCGTAGCTATCATTACTTCCATGGGATTCCAGAGAAATCAGGCTGTCCAGGCACTGCGAGCAACGGTGAGCATGAAAAATTGTGTGTGTGTGTGTGTGTGTGTGAATACTCATCCTGGAGGTATTCCACGTTTCAGTCAGTAGCAGTATAACTTCTCAAGTTTGATCATTTTGTATCATTTTTATGGGGCTCTGTACTCTACCTTGGCCCATTATGATTTATTTGCATATCATATATAAAGCTAAATTAAATGCTTGTAGGAATCGTACAGCAAATTTCAGCATGTTGGGATGATAAACCTTGGGCAAGATGACCAAACTTAGGAAACTCCATATCATCTTGAATGTTGGTTAATGGATGTATTGATCAGCTTTCGCATTACTGTAATAGACTACCTGTGACTTTCAATTTAAATGAGGAGAGGTTTATTTTTGGCTCATGTTTTTGGAGGTTTCAGTCCATGGTCTGCTGGCTCCAAAACAGAAACATCATGGCAGAAGGGTGTGGTAGAGCAAAGCTTCTCACTTCCTGGCTGCTGGAAGGCAGAGCACAGGGGAGGGGGGTGGCCTGCAGACCCACCTCCAACTGGGCCCCCTCTTCTCATAGCCCATTCAACTGAGAACACCCATGAGTTGGTCTATTCATGAGTATCGCCCCCAAAATGCAACCACCTCTCCCGGTGTATCTTAATATAGCGAGTTGATAATTAAGATTAACTGGTACAGTGGGCCTCACAGATGTGACTTCAAGCTTGTTGTGGCCTAAAGCAAAGAGGGATGCATGAGATTGTGTGTTTAGTAAGAAATTTCTTCGCGTAAAATAATGCATTTATCATATGAGACCTTGGAGAAATATGTCTTTAAAGTCCTAATAGAAGGCTGAATGGCTCCTTGGAATTCTGTGCTGCGGTTTCTGTCTGCAGTCAGAGAACGTTCTTCTGCTCATTAGAAATGTCCTGATATTATCAGGAGAGGGAGGACCATGACACCAGAAGGGGATAGAAGACTTCTTCTTAACAGTGTAGGTGTCTGTTTGATATTTAGCGAAGGTTTTCTTTTTTAACATCCTTTCTTTGCCACATCATAATCTACTTTTGAGTGACATTTGCTACCACTTCCTTCCTACCAATCCTGAGTGGGTGCCTGATAGGCTCTGATATTGAGATCACAGGGGCTGTTGTGTGGCACGTAGAGATGTGGCTGCAATGCTGTGCTTCCCTTAAAGTGCTTACAGTATCTCAGCAGGTTATTTTCTTATGTCTCACTTATTTTATTTGCCCATTTCATTTGACTCTGTTTAAACAAAGTTTTTAGCCTTCCAGTGATATCACAAATAAGGGAAGTTGGAAAAGTTTTCATGGTGAATGGTTTGAACTGTAGAGAGTTCATTTTAAAAAATCAATCATTAACTAAGCCATTGATCAGATCTCTACTGCAGTTCAGCCACTCTACGAACACTGCGGAGCGGAGGCACTAATACAATACTCTTGTTGGTGTCCCTCTATCTTGTAGAGTTATCTGCAGAAAGTAAAATCAGTAGGGAAAATAGTTTGTGTACTTATTGTGGTTGTAGAAGGGGCTTCCCTTACACGAGTGTCCCAGTGGCATTCTATACCCATCGTTATCAGCACCGACCTGCAGAGGTACTTAGCCAGGACTGATAGGAGCTTTGGAAATGCTGATCTGCTATTCAAAACTGTTTTCCAGTGAATCCAATTACAGACCTCAGCTGGGACTTGCAGAATGCCAGGCCCGTGTTCATGTGGTATGCAGAGCCAGAGCGCCTTCCTCAGAGCCACTTAGGACTAATGAATTCAGTCTTCCTCCCGAACTGCCTGACGTGCAGGTCAAGTGATCAGGATATCGATATCATGAAGCCTGGGGGCTTCATGCATTATAAAATTGTTTTATGTTATTAGAACAATAACCTGGAAAGAGCACTGGATTGGATCTTTAGCCACCCTGAGTTTGAAGAGGACAGCGACTTTGTGATCGAGATGGAGAATAATGCCAATGCCAACATTATTTCCGAGGCTAAGCCTGAAGGACCTAGAGTCAAGGATGGATCTGGAAGTAAGTTCTTGCCCCAGAAATTGTCTCAGAATCATGGCTGTGCATTTAGCTCATGCTCTTCTCCTCATCACTATATATCTGAACCTTTGGTGTCGTTTAAAAGTTAGCACAGACCTTGTCTTCTCATAAATGGTGCCTTTTGTCACTTTTTATAAACCACAGTGATCTGATAGAGTCTAGGTTCTTAGAATGTACCTAGTACCTAATACTACTACTACTACTGCTACTACTACTAGGAGTATTAGTACGTACTGGTAGTAATAGTTGTGTGTGTGTGTGTGTGTGTCTGTGCATAAGTTTAGTATCAGTTTTCACTTTGTCTCTTTGAGGTAAAATTCCTTTATAGACCATGTGAGCTTTTGTCAAAAACACATTAGGTTCCATGGCGGTTTTTGAACAGTAGGAAAGCAGCGTCCTGTCCTTGACTGTGTCCATACCAGTGCTATCTGCAGGTAGTTTTCTGAAGCACAGTCTCAAGATGACAGAAGAGGTGCCATAGGCCAAGAATCTGCCTCTTCATAGTGAACACTCATTGAATCGTCAGCATGACTGATTTTACAGGTGAGAGAAATAGAGGCACAGAGATTAGGTGCTTTGCCTCACATCACATAGCTCTTAAGGTGCAGAGGCAAGAGTCTAGGGTCCATGTTCTTCAACTTTATGATATTCTGCTTCCTGAGCTGTGGCCTATAGAATGATGGTTAGCTCTTTAGTCTGGCATTTGACACATCCTCCTGTCAGATTCCAGCCTGTTTCATCTTTGTATCACTTCTTCTGCACCCCCTGCACCTGCAGCTCAGATGCTTGATAGTGCCAGCGTCCTCAGCTGCCACCGACTTTTGTCTCACTGCCGTTAGGCCTTTGCTCAAGTTAATCTCTATTTGTGAAATACCCTCCTCTCTCAGCACAAAAACCCTTACTGCCCTGAAGAACTTAGCTACAGACCCCATTCTCTGGCCTGCTTTCCTAGATCCCTATTATAAGCATGTCTTGTGCTTATCTCATATACTAGAAATAGTTATACCAGTACTATTAATGCTTCCATCTGTGTCATATTTAATTCTCCTAATAGCCCCATGCAGTGGATTCCATTGTTATCCCCATTTTGTAGGTGAAGAAAATCGAAGCAGGGAAGATTATAGCTTGTTAAAGTCACATCTGTAGTGATGAGTAGAACCATAATCCCAGCCTAGGCAATCTGTCCACCTCCAGAGCCTGTGCCTAACTAGAGCCTCTGCAAGGTGTTGAATATCAGGTTGATCTTGTAGTAAAATTACTTATATAGCTCTCAGTGCTTCCCATTCATCTAGGAGCTTGTGAGGGGTAGAGGCTATTTTGCAAAACTCATGGTGTCTAATACATAGAAAGTACTGAATAAATAACAATTGGATTTGAATAAATTTATATACCAACCTTTGTTTTTCGGATCATAGAGTTGCAGATCTATTCATTGGTGGTCTTACAAGATACAGCTAGTATTTATTGATTTACAGTTAAAGAGAGAGGGGGATGGAAGCTTTCTTCTTTTTAAAAATATATACAGTTTTAGTGTTAACTGGGTAAGAAAATGATAGGATATAGTTCTCCCAATTTCCTTGTTCATCTAAAAGGTCTTATATTACTTTCAGAAATCACTGCATTGCCTAAAACATTAGAGGCTGTAATGGACAAGTTAATAATTTACGAGCAGGGTTTATTATATGTTCCATTTCTATTGGCTTTCACTGTTTCATTGATTTTCTATAATGGACTTTGGAGCCAATGAGTCCTCACAGAGGGGATAAACCACAAGATGGGGACTATTGTAAAGATGCCAAGGTATTTGGCTACCAAGGGTTTCCCTTCTTTGGTGGAGCTTAGGGCCACTAACCACGCCCTCTCAGATGGTCAGGAATAATAACAGCCATGTCATCCCCTCAGGACTTACTGTACCTCAGAGCATCTGCAGATATTCCTGGTCCAATTGGCGGCCATGATGCTGCCCTCAAGCACCCTTGGAGGTACTGGGGATCCAACTCCTGGGGCTGAGGTGAAGGGCGGGGCAGGAGCACTGTGATATGTGCTGTGAGAAACCATATACAGGATATGCAGGATATAAAGGCAGTACTAGGTGAAAATTTTAATTGTGGGGGAAGAAAACAGAGACCACATTAACTTGCCAGATGTGTATTTAGTCTGACTTTAAATAATAAATGTTTTGCAGATGGCTTCTCCAGCAGCTGCCTGATCATTTACTCAGAGTAAATGGTCAGCAAAGAACCGGTTGGATGGTGAATTAGATAAGTGCCAGGAGGTAGTGGTCTTAGGGGGAGTTTTTGGTGGCTCCCGTAAGAGCGGTGTGAAGGGATTTGTGGAGTACTTTTGCTTTGGGAACTGGGGCATGTGACTTCCTGCACCTTGCTGTGTCAGCTCCTGGACTCCTGCGTCACTCATTGCTTTCTTCTCCATTTCTTTAAAAAGAAATTAGCATTTATATTATTTTCCTCAAAATTAAAAGAATGTACATTTTAGCAATTTGAGAAAAAAAATGTATCTAAAGGGAAGGGATTGAAAAATTACAATTCTATTACCCAACAATAACTACGGTTAATGTTTTGTGTATATGTTTTAGACCTTTCTATGCAAATGCGTAAAATAATTATAAATACATAAATGTATAAAAATATAACATTCTATTCACTACCTTCTATTTCATCAGCAGAATCCCCCAGTTGTGGGAATCCATATATGTAAAATGAGATCATTAAACATATATTAATAATATGTTATAATATATGTGTACTATAATTTATATCTAATTTTAGGAAGTTGGGTATTTAAATAAAGGACTCTTTCAGAGAGAGTTTCAGATAGTGAAAGTGTTTCCGTATTCAGGTGACAGCAATGATTTTTTTTGTTTGTTTTTATTTTCGAAGCGGGTTATGCCCTGTAGTCAGGCTGGCCCCAAGCTCTCGGCAGTCCTCCGGTCTTGGCCTCCTGAGGGCTGGGATTCCAGGCATGCACCCCCAAACGTGGCTGGCAGAATTAATTTCTTTCCGTTTTAATTCTTTATTAGTATATGTTTGCATTATAGACCGATTGCATTCCTTTTGGGAAGTTGGTATATGTGCAAAACACGTCTCAATTCTTTTTTTTTCCCTACTCTCTTGCCCTCATCTCTTTCCATTGCTTGATCTCCTTCCCATTTGGAAAAGACTTAGCCCTCTGCTTCCTATTAGCTATCTTTTATTTCACTCTTTATTTATGTTTGTGGCCTCCATGTAGTAGGCTGTGTGTCTGATTTATTTCGCTTAACATTATGGTCTCAAGGTGCACCCATTCTCCTATAAATGACTCTGGTTTATCCTTCATGGCAGAGTAGTACTCCATTGAGTGTCAGTACCACATTTTCTTTATCCATTCATCTGTTGGTGGACTTCCAAGATTTAACTATTATGAGTTGCGTTGCTGTAAACACGGGTGTGTGTGTATCACTAAATAGGATGTCTTTAACTCTTTTGGGAAGATACCTAGAAAGCGAATAGCTGGGTCACATGGAATTTCTAACTAGTTTTTTGAGGAGTCTCCATACTGAGTTCCATAGTGGTTGTACTGTTTTATATTCCCACCAACAATGTAGAAGCGTTGTTCTTTTATCCCTACAGCCTTGCCAGCAAGTTTTTTTAAAGGATTCAGTTCACGGAACTACAACATATGCCCGATTAATCACTGTCCAGCAAGTAAACTCTTGTTTAACCTCCTTCCTTTGTTAAAAATAACGCTGTACTGAACAGTGCGAGGCCGTCATATGACTTTTGCTTTTGAATAAGTCTCTGGAAGTGAAGTGTTTGATTGAGAAATATAGACTTTCAATGCAGCTTTCTGTCTGTCAGATGACCCTTGAAAACACAGCACTGAGCGTGCGATGTTCATGTGGGTGACATCCTGCCCCCTAGCCCTTCCCCAGCAGTGTTGTGTCACACACTTTTTATGTTCTTTCATCTTTTTATTTCCCAGCTTGTTTTCTTCTTATGTTCATGGCTCTCTCATTTCCTTTGGCCATTTTTATTAAGGTTTTTATGTATTTTTTAAGAAACTGATTTGTATGAGTCCATTGCATTGTAGATTAATACTTCCCAGCTTTGCAGTGCTGAGTTTTTCTATCCAGAAACACATTATACTTTTGCTTTGATTCATTCCCACACCCCTTTCTGCCCTGCAAAGCGGTGTGGTTTACTTCATAAACACCCGTTGTATTTCTGGTTTACTCATGTCTCAGAATTACGTTTTCTGTGTTACTTATCTATCAACATTTTTCCCATTGTATTTTCTAAATTGTTACTGCTGGATTTTGCAAAGCCAACGACCTAGAAATAGGTCATTTTATAGGAGTTTGATTGGAATTATATAAGATTTATAGGTTATGCTGGAGGAAATGTGTGTAGGTTATTTTGGGGGCATTGAATATCTTTAAAAGGTAAAAGTAATTACTAGATGAGAAGCCAAAACAAACTAAATAAGAACAAGTTCAGCTTTGGGGATTCTGTTCTAAGTGGGAGACCTGAACCTAACTTGTCTAAGCAAAGAGGAAATAGCATCATGTGAAAGCTGGCAGGTTGCCAGAGGCAGGGATGGAGTAGGTGAAAGGCACCTTTGATTCAGACCACACAGTTTTTATCTGATGGACTCCTTGGCCTGGCTTCTTCTGGGCTGGCTGGTTCCACACTTAGGTTGACCCTAGAGGCCATGAGGTATCTGCCAGGGCCCTCTACAACACAATCTCTCCAGGTCACAATCCAGCAGAAAGATGCTTGTCCTGGAGTTCTCAGCTTTAAATTCAAAACTTTTTGTGCTTGACCATGATGCCACAAGGGGAAATTTCCACACCTGACCTCATGTCAGGCAAAATGGAGACGTACTGAAATTATTGTACACATTTATATGCCAGCTATGTCTGTGAGGTGTATATGAAACGAATACATTTTATGGATTGACTTAGGTCCCATCCCAAAGGTATCCCAATATGTATATGCAACTACTCCAAAATCTGGAAGAAAAAAACACTCCTGAAATCCAACGCAATTCTGATCCTGAGCATTTTGGATAAGGAATATTCAACCTACATTTTCATCCTTCTGACTAAGGAAGTAATATTATTGAATGAGACTCTTTATTTAAGTGTTTGTTTAATGTGTTTGTTTAATGTGTTTGTGCAGAAGATTGCAATTCTTTTGAACTTTTGAATGAATTCATATATGTTACCTAGAAAAAGTCAAGGAACAAGAATTTGAAGAGAATGTTTTTATTATGTTCCATTGTTATGGGCATTCCAAAAATGGAACACTGCGCATACACTGGTTGAAAGGATCAAGAACACTGTGAACACTTGATGAAGTACTAGCTCTCATTTATCGAGGGCCTACTCTGTGTCAGGCACTTCCTCTACCACTTTTCTTTCCCTGCTTACAGGAGGTGTTCAGATGAGGAAATGGTGATAAGTTAAGTGATTTGCTTGTGGTACAACCAGGTCAGAATTTAGGTCTGACTTGAAAAGCCTGTATGGTTTCTCCTTTTCCTTCTTATTTCACATGAGTCTTTGTATTCACATTTTGTATTCAAATGTAGATGAAAGTCTACTTATCACAAGGTAATTTACTGCCAAGTCCTACATGGTTTTTAGGGCTAGCAGCTCACTTTCTGTTGAATTTTAAAATTTTTCAAAAGAGTGGGAATATTCAAGGCTCCACTCTGACCTGTGTGGGCTTCTGTTATTTGCGAAATCATTTCTGTTTTTGTGTTGCACTTAATGTTTTATTTCTTTAAAAAACAAGTCACTGATTGCCAATGTAATTAGCATGTAATTAGGCTGTGATTACTCAAAACCTGCTCTGGCTCCTTCAGTCACACCGCTGTAGTAGTTCAGACGTCTTCGGCAGCAGCTGAGTTTTTCCAGCCAGGGAGCAGAGAGACAGTTCCTCTGCTCAAAGGTGGGATTCCCAACTTGCTGGCCTCCCTGAGGAAAGCCACCTGGAAGAGGGCCTGGGGGCAGGAAGTACTGCTTCCAGAGGTGTTAAGGCCCACTGATCTTTTTGAAAGCCATGTGGACTTCCTTCATGTCTGGGTTCTGGTATTTATCCTATTTTAGCATTTGTTATAATTTCTGGTTCGTTTACTTATTTATGCCATTGAAAGTTAAAATAAAGCCACTGAATGGAGTAAATTAATTTCCACTGAAGTCTGAGTGACACAGAACCATTAAATTTAGAGAAGAGTGCGGGATATTTGGAATATTAAGCAGTTTACTAAAGAAACTGGTAATTCTGAGCTGGCTAGGATGGAGGGAAGAAATTTATAGACGCTTTAAGATTTAATCCTGGGGTAAAAGGAGACAGACAATGAATGAATGTACCAGGAAGCATGTGACACAGCAAGTGGTACTTCACGCTACGTGGACAGTATAAAGCGGGATAAGGGCACAGGGAGCAATAGGAGCACCTAGTGGGGTGTTCAGGAAGGCTTTTCCGGTTTAGGCAACATTTGACCTGAGACCTCACTGATACCTGAAAAGAGCGTTTCAATAGAAGGAATGGTAGGTGTAAACGCTCAGAGTAGCTGGGATGGAGAAGCAGAAAGAATGAGGGATGCGAGCACTGCCTAGGCAGTTGCAAGAGTAGGATTTTACTGTGAGATGTAGGAAGCCACTGGAAGGATTTCGGGCAGAGTCATGATCATAACATAACTTCTATTAAAAAGGCTACTCTGGACCCTGAGTGTAGTCGGTAGAGGGTAAGGGAGTCAGGTAGGACATTCTTGCAACCATAAAAGACAAGAGATGATGGTGACCTGCATTAGGAGTTTTTAGTGGATATGGTAAGAAGTGATTGGGTTCTGGATATATTTTAAAGTAAAAACTTGTAAGATTTGTTGATGGATTTCATAGATGTAAAGAGTTTGAGACAGACATTCAGGCTGACTTCATGAAAGAATGTAATTGTCATTGACTGAGATAGACAAGGCTGAAGGGAGACTGCCGAATAAACTAGGAATGGAAGGGAATGCCCTTGACCTATGAAACAAACAAACAAACAAACAAACAAAAACCATAGTTCACATGATACTTAGTATGAAAGATCGAAGACATTCTTCCTAAAAGGATTTCCCCTCTTGCCACTTCTATTTAACATTGTTCAGGAGGTCCTAACCAATACAATGAAGCTGGAAAATGGGGGTAAAAGGCACCCAGACTATCAAATAATAAATAATGTTATCTGTATTTGCAGGTGACATTATCTTATATACAGGAAATTCTAAGGAATCCACTAACAAACTTAGAACTGATAAACAGGTTCAGGAAGGTTGCAGGAATCAAATCTCTATAGAAAATTCAGTTTTATTTCTATATATGAGCAATGAACATTCTGGAAATGAAATTAGGAAAGCAATATCCTTTATTGACATGAGACAAGTGGGAACAGAGAAAGAGAGAGAGAGACTCTGGATAGAACAGGGTAGAATAGGTCTGAAGTTTAAGCTGCAAGTCAGCCATATTCAAAGGTCAGGAGAGCTGGAGGTACCGACAAGGAAGACAGATACGGAGCAACCATGGAGGCAGAAGGACAGCTAAGAGACTCGTGTCCTGGGACAAGGATTTGAGGAAGAAAGCGTTGATTAACAGGGTGTACATGTGAGTAAGAGGAGGACCAGGACTGACAGCTGAAGCAGTGAGTGAACATGAGTGAAAAGCAAGAGAAAGAGAGTGGGAGAGACAAGCGTCAGACACAGGGACTTTCCAAAACCAACACTTTTCGGGAAACGATAATCAATTAATAATTAAGGACTAGAAAAATGAACATGCAAACCTTTTACTTGTGACATTCAGAGATGAACGCTGCTCATACATTATGATAAAAGTTTATAAATGCTTACTCTAAACTTCTGTACTGTCTCATTCTAGTTCCAACAGTTTGTTGAGTAGATAGGTACGAGTCCGCGGAGCCCACTTGATGTCGTATGGCTCCAAGATTAACAGAAGGAACATGAACGAAATTAATTCAACAAGGATTTGATGTGGCATACTGTGCTTGTTGGCAGGAGATACCTGTTAGTGGATAAACATTAGTCTCGCTCTCTAAGAGGTGATATATGCCTATTTTTATCTCTTTGTTCAGAAAGCACGAAGTCTGAAGTTTGGTCCCACATAGATTATTATCATGACAAATCAGACGTTTTATGAGAAACATTATCCCTTTCTGTAAGTGATAACAGGTATTTGCTACTTTCTTCATGATCCTGACATTTATATGACATTTTAGTCTGAATTGCTCATGTAAGTCTCGTACAACCCTGCAAAGTGGATTTAAAAAAAGAAAAGCCCTATGAAGAAACAGGCTCAGAGAGATGAGACAACTTGTCCACCCTCATGTTGTTTGAAAGTGTTCAAGTAAGGTCTACCTTTCTAGACCCAGGAGCTTGCCAGCAGATTGGGCTGTGGGATTTTTTTAGTATATGTGCTGCCGAAGTGAGCACATGGGCTGTGAGATTTTTAATTCTTTCAAGATTTGAATTTAATATCATCTTTAGTTTTGTTAATTTATGTCCTGTTTTTGTTATAGTGAATTTTCAGGTAGAATTTACAGAGATGTGTGTGTGTGTGTGTGTGTGTTTGTGTGCATGTGTGTTCCATATAAAGGCAAATAGGCTTTGTATTTCAAATCTAAACAGTTGCTGGATTGCACTATTACTGGTTTTGCAGTCTTGTCAGAAGTGTTCTCGATTCTAGAATGCTTCCTTGTAACTGACTTGTTTCTTCTTTCATAGTGTATGAATTATTTGCATTTATCAGTCACATGGGAACATCTACAATACTAGAATCTTAGAGTAATGCAATTTTAAAGCCATTTTTCATATTATACCTTCACACTATATTGTGCTTGTTTTCCTCATTTCACCGAATAGTTTTTGAAGAAATTTTAATAATTATGTAATAATTGACTACATACATGTTTACTTCTGATTTTTTAAAGTTAGTTTTATATTGAAGGGTGAAGCAAACATGGTACACAATTCTTTGACTTGTTTTTGAGGCCATCTATGGGAATTATGGGCTGAAGGATTTAAAATACTTGGAGAATTCTGAAAGATTATTTTGGTAACTGCTATTTGATTGAGCTCAAGAATGGAAAAGCGTGGCAATTCCCCATAGGCATTCTGTTCTTTTTTTATACAACAAATTGGAGTTGGGTTATCTTAAAACATTTTGGTTATTTTAAGAACTCCATATGATGCAGTTCTCCAAAGTATCTTGGAACTAATATAAATCCTTTAAATGCTTCTGTCTTTTATTTTCAGATGGGTGATCTACAATGACCACAAAGTCTGTGCCTCAGAACGGCCTCCTAAAGATCTGGGCTACATGTACTTTTACCGCAGGATACCAAGCTAAACCTCGGACATGCAGATTGGCGAGAAGAAGCCATATGCCTTTTTAATTTGCCAAAAAAAAAAAAGAAAAAAAAAAAAACAAAAAAGGAAAACAAAGTTTTTAGCCTTCCAGTGATATCACAAATAAGGGAAGTTGGAAAAGTTTTCATGGTGAATGGTTTGAACTGTAGAGAGTTCATTTTAAAAAATCAATCATTAACTAAGCCATTGATCAGATCTCTACTGCAGTTCAGCCACTCTACGAACACTGCGGAGCGGAGGCACTAATACAATACTCTTGTTGGTGTCCCTCTATCTTGTAGAGTTATCTGCAGAAAGTAAAATCAGTAGGGAAAATAGTTTGTGTACTTATTGTGGTTGTAGAAGGGGCTTCCCTTACACGAGTGTCCCAGTGGCATTCTATACCCATCGTTATCAGCACCGACCTGCAGAGGTACTTAGCCAGGACTGATAGGAGCTTTGGAAATGCTGATCTGCTATTCAAAACTGTTTTCCAGTGAATCCAATTACAGACCTCAGCTGGGACTTGCAGAATGCCAGGCCCGTGTTCATGTGGTATGCAGAGCCAGAGCGCCTTCCTCAGAGCCACTTAGGACTAATGAATTCAGTCTTCCTCCCGAACTGCCTGACGTGCAGGTCAAGTGATCAGGATATCGATATCATGAAGCCTGGGGGCTTCATGCATTATAAAATTGTTTTATGTTATTAGAACAATAACCTGGAAAGAGCACTGGATTGGATCTTTAGCCACCCTGAGTTTGAAGAGGACAGCGACTTTGTGATCGAGATGGAGAATAATGCCAATGCCAACATTATTTCCGAGGCTAAGCCTGAAGGACCTAGAGTCAAGGATGGATCTGGAAGTAAGTTCTTGCCCCAGAAATTGTCTCAGAATCATGGCTGTGCATTTAGCTCATGCTCTTCTCCTCATCACTATATATCTGAACCTTTGGTGTCGTTTAAAAGTTAGCACAGACCTTGTCTTCTCATAAATGGTGCCTTTTGTCACTTTTTATAAACCACAGTGATCTGATAGAGTCTAGGTTCTTAGAATGTACCTAGTACCTAATACTACTACTACTACTGCTACTACTACTAGGAGTATTAGTACGTACTGGTAGTAATAGTTGTGTGTGTGTGTGTGTGTGTCTGTGCATAAGTTTAGTATCAGTTTTCACTTTGTCTCTTTGAGGTAAAATTCCTTTATAGACCATGTGAGCTTTTGTCAAAAACACATTAGGTTCCATGGCGGTTTTTGAACAGTAGGAAAGCAGCGTCCTGTCCTTGACTGTGTCCATACCAGTGCTATCTGCAGGTAGTTTTCTGAAGCACAGTCTCAAGATGACAGAAGAGGTGCCATAGGCCAAGAATCTGCCTCTTCATAGTGAACACTCATTGAATCGTCAGCATGACTGATTTTACAGGTGAGAGAAATAGAGGCACAGAGATTAGGTGCTTTGCCTCACATCACATAGCTCTTAAGGTGCAGAGGCAAGAGTCTAGGGTCCATGTTCTTCAACTTTATGATATTCTGCTTCCTGAGCTGTGGCCTATAGAATGATGGTTAGCTCTTTAGTCTGGCATTTGACACATCCTCCTGTCAGATTCCAGCCTGTTTCATCTTTGTATCACTTCTTCTGCACCCCCTGCACCTGCAGCTCAGATGCTTGATAGTGCCAGCGTCCTCAGCTGCCACCGACTTTTGTCTCACTGCCGTTAGGCCTTTGCTCAAGTTAATCTCTATTTGTGAAATACCCTCCTCTCTCAGCACAAAAACCCTTACTGCCCTGAAGAACTTAGCTACAGACCCCATTCTCTGGCCTGCTTTCCTAGATCCCTATTATAAGCATGTCTTGTGCTTATCTCATATACTAGAAATAGTTATACCAGTACTATTAATGCTTCCATCTGTGTCATATTTAATTCTCCTAATAGCCCCATGCAGTGGATTCCATTGTTATCCCCATTTTGTAGGTGAAGAAAATCGAAGCAGGGAAGATTATAGCTTGTTAAAGTCACATCTGTAGTGATGAGTAGAACCATAATCCCAGCCTAGGCAATCTGTCCACCTCCAGAGCCTGTGCCTAACTAGAGCCTCTGCAAGGTGTTGAATATCAGGTTGATCTTGTAGTAAAATTACTTATATAGCTCTCAGTGCTTCCCATTCATCTAGGAGCTTGTGAGGGGTAGAGGCTATTTTGCAAAACTCATGGTGTCTAATACATAGAAAGTACTGAATAAATAACAATTGGATTTGAATAAATTTATATACCAACCTTTGTTTTTCGGATCATAGAGTTGCAGATCTATTCATTGGTGGTCTTACAAGATACAGCTAGTATTTATTGATTTACAGTTAAAGAGAGAGGGGGATGGAAGCTTTCTTCTTTTTAAAAATATATACAGTTTTAGTGTTAACTGGGTAAGAAAATGATAGGATATAGTTCTCCCAATTTCCTTGTTCATCTAAAAGGTCTTATATTACTTTCAGAAATCACTGCATTGCCTAAAACATTAGAGGCTGTAATGGACAAGTTAATAATTTACGAGCAGGGTTTATTATATGTTCCATTTCTATTGGCTTTCACTGTTTCATTGATTTTCTATAATGGACTTTGGAGCCAATGAGTCCTCACAGAGGGGATAAACCACAAGATGGGGACTATTGTAAAGATGCCAAGGTATTTGGCTACCAAGGGTTTCCCTTCTTTGGTGGAGCTTAGGGCCACTAACCACGCCCTCTCAGATGGTCAGGAATAATAACAGCCATGTCATCCCCTCAGGACTTACTGTACCTCAGAGCATCTGCAGATATTCCTGGTCCAATTGGCGGCCATGATGCTGCCCTCAAGCACCCTTGGAGGTACTGGGGATCCAACTCCTGGGGCTGAGGTGAAGGGCGGGGCAGGAGCACTGTGATATGTGCTGTGAGAAACCATATACAGGATATGCAGGATATAAAGGCAGTACTAGGTGAAAATTTTAATTGTGGGGGAAGAAAACAGAGACCACATTAACTTGCCAGATGTGTATTTAGTCTGACTTTAAATAATAAATGTTTTGCAGATGGCTTCTCCAGCAGCTGCCTGATCATTTACTCAGAGTAAATGGTCAGCAAAGAACCGGTTGGATGGTGAATTAGATAAGTGCCAGGAGGTAGTGGTCTTAGGGGGAGTTTTTGGTGGCTCCCGTAAGAGCGGTGTGAAGGGATTTGTGGAGTACTTTTGCTTTGGGAACTGGGGCATGTGACTTCCTGCACCTTGCTGTGTCAGCTCCTGGACTCCTGCGTCACTCATTGCTTTCTTCTCCATTTCTTTAAAAAGAAATTAGCATTTATATTATTTTCCTCAAAATTAAAAGAATGTACATTTTAGCAATTTGAGAAAAAAAATGTATCTAAAGGGAAGGGATTGAAAAATTACAATTCTATTACCCAACAATAACTACGGTTAATGTTTTGTGTATATGTTTTAGACCTTTCTATGCAAATGCGTAAAATAATTATAAATACATAAATGTATAAAAATATAACATTCTATTCACTACCTTCTATTTCATCAGCAGAATCCCCCAGTTGTGGGAATCCATATATGTAAAATGAGATCATTAAACATATATTAATAATATGTTATAATATATGTGTACTATAATTTATATCTAATTTTAGGAAGTTGGGTATTTAAATAAAGGACTCTTTCAGAGAGAGTTTCAGATAGTGAAAGTGTTTCCGTATTCAGGTGACAGCAATGATTTTTTTTGTTTGTTTTTATTTTCGAAGCGGGTTATGCCCTGTAGTCAGGCTGGCCCCAAGCTCTCGGCAGTCCTCCGGTCTTGGCCTCCTGAGGGCTGGGATTCCAGGCATGCACCCCCAAACGTGGCTGGCAGAATTAATTTCTTTCCGTTTTAATTCTTTATTAGTATATGTTTGCATTATAGACCGATTGCATTCCTTTTGGGAAGTTGGTATATGTGCAAAACACGTCTCAATTCTTTTTTTTTCCCTACTCTCTTGCCCTCATCTCTTTCCATTGCTTGATCTCCTTCCCATTTGGAAAAGACTTAGCCCTCTGCTTCCTATTAGCTATCTTTTATTTCACTCTTTATTTATGTTTGTGGCCTCCATGTAGTAGGCTGTGTGTCTGATTTATTTCGCTTAACATTATGGTCTCAAGGTGCACCCATTCTCCTATAAATGACTCTGGTTTATCCTTCATGGCAGAGTAGTACTCCATTGAGTGTCAGTACCACATTTTCTTTATCCATTCATCTGTTGGTGGACTTCCAAGATTTAACTATTATGAGTTGCGTTGCTGTAAACACGGGTGTGTGTGTATCACTAAATAGGATGTCTTTAACTCTTTTGGGAAGATACCTAGAAAGCGAATAGCTGGGTCACATGGAATTTCTAACTAGTTTTTTGAGGAGTCTCCATACTGAGTTCCATAGTGGTTGTACTGTTTTATATTCCCACCAACAATGTAGAAGCGTTGTTCTTTTATCCCTACAGCCTTGCCAGCAAGTTTTTTTAAAGGATTCAGTTCACGGAACTACAACATATGCCCGATTAATCACTGTCCAGCAAGTAAACTCTTGTTTAACCTCCTTCCTTTGTTAAAAATAACGCTGTACTGAACAGTGCGAGGCCGTCATATGACTTTTGCTTTTGAATAAGTCTCTGGAAGTGAAGTGTTTGATTGAGAAATATAGACTTTCAATGCAGCTTTCTGTCTGTCAGATGACCCTTGAAAACACAGCACTGAGCGTGCGATGTTCATGTGGGTGACATCCTGCCCCCTAGCCCTTCCCCAGCAGTGTTGTGTCACACACTTTTTATGTTCTTTCATCTTTTTATTTCCCAGCTTGTTTTCTTCTTATGTTCATGGCTCTCTCATTTCCTTTGGCCATTTTTATTAAGGTTTTTATGTATTTTTTAAGAAACTGATTTGTATGAGTCCATTGCATTGTAGATTAATACTTCCCAGCTTTGCAGTGCTGAGTTTTTCTATCCAGAAACACATTATACTTTTGCTTTGATTCATTCCCACACCCCTTTCTGCCCTGCAAA